GATCACTTGTTCCCTTGTTCCTGGGTTTGTCAACACCACTTCCTTTCCCCCCACTTCCCCCTCTCCAATGTCCCCCCGGAACTGTCGGTCCCATTGTTTTCTCCTCCAGGTTGTTCATCCAGCCCATCTTATTTAGACAGACCTGCAGAGATAATAACATGCACAAAAAAGCCTCGTCTTTCTCCCTCAGAGGTCACAAGCAAATATTTTCAAAGTGCTGACCTTTCTGTTAGCAGACCCATCTGTAACCCATGGCTTGATGGCAGTGAGTTCGGAGTTTGGGAGCTACTACCGGGGAGTAAAGCTCAGCGGCAACACTGATTTGGATCTTTGTAATGGCAAAGGTGATGAGAAGTGGTTAGACTCTGGATGTATACTTTCAGTGTCCACACTGTTTCCAACCCCCAAGGCCTTCAGTTTAGGGATCTATCGATTCCTAAATCTATCAAATATATCCTCAGACATATTTCCTAAATGAATTGCAGGCACAAAATAGTACATTGTGCACCATGGGGGTGCTGAGGTGGTAGTTCTTGCTTTATGACATGTAAATCTACTTTTATTAAAGAAGCCTAATTATATCTGCTGCTTTAGCTTTCTACATAGACTTTCTTAGGGTCCCAGGTCTATGTGAAAGTTTGTGATACTTTGTCTCCTCAGTGTTTTGTATTTGTCTGATTGTGCATTTATTTTTGTTTTGTTAGTATTTGCTTTTAAAACAAAAAATGATTGTGCATTTATTTTTGTTTGCTAGTATTTGCCTTTAAAACAAAAAAATAAAAAACAAAAGCAAAAAAGACATCTTTTTTTTTTTAAGTGAACCTTTGGAGTTGCTTTTCTTGTCAGATGCGCTTTTAGGAGGCACTGTTCCTTTGGTTGTGTGCCTAATTCTAAGAGTAGACAGTTGTTCTACATACTTCAGTTCATCAGAACTAGATCCATGTGGACAGCCAGGTGGGGGGGTAAAATTCTAAAAGCATAGTTTACAGCATTAAATGAAACAATAGCTCTTGTTTTTCACCAGCAAATATTGTAATAACTGTAGTTTTGGTGGTGTAATGGTGACGCATTGGGTTGCTAACCACAAGGTCAGCAGTTTGAAACTAGCAGCCACTCTCAAGGAGAAAGACAAGACTTTCAGAACGCATTTCTAATATCATAAAGACGACACTCTCTGAAGCCCCACAGGGGCAGTTCTGGCCTGTTCCATCAGGGTCTCTGCGAGTCAGAGTTCACTTGAGGACAGTGACCTTTTAGGCTGTGAGTGCTAACAAATGAGTCTTTAAAAAGAATTTCATTCTCTTTTGATTCTATTTCTTCTTTTTTTTTTGGTCCCCTTGTATTCATAGTTTCTTCTTCTTCTTCTTCTTCTTCC